ACCAAATATATTAGATAAAAAAATAATAATAAATATAACGTATATGAACTGCCCAATCCGGACAATCCAGATCGCCTGGTTCCTTGACAAAACTAAACAAGTCTATAGGAACCACACCAAATCCTCCAGAGGAATCAGGTTGGTCTAACCCGCTTCCTAGTCCAAAAAATTAATTAACTTACATATTGTCATTTTTGTCTACTTTTAAATCACTAGTTAATAGTTAACTAATGATCATGACATCCTTGTACTAAAGGCAAATAATCTAATACCATATTTTCTCATTTTTGAGAGAACACTCACTCAAACCATTTGAAGCAATTTATACGATGAATTGCATTATGGTTTAACCATTATTATTAATACTATTAGGCCAAGCTTTCTATGTTTAAGTTCTATCCTCCCTCTTATCCAAACATCCATTATGAATAGAGGGCTAAGATTGCCCCAATCACAATGTCACGTATTTACACTATTTTATTTTTTATTTTTTTCTATAAACTATGTTGACACCAAATTTTGGACGTCCATTCCTCTATTAAACTTGCACTAGCAAAAAATATAAAAAAACTATTTTCAATAAAATAAAATAACCAAAATACCCTTGAAAGATTCAAGGGGTATTTTGTTCATTATATTTTATCGAAAAAATATTTTAGATATTTTGTATAGGTGCGCCCTAATGAGAAGATAACACATACCAAATTTCATATTAATACAATTTGTATAAAAAAAACTAAAAATAAAATACTTTGAGACGTCGGATCTAAGATCAAACGGTAAGTGACTCTCTTGATCAAAATTGGACGGCTTGATGGTAGGGGGAGGATAGAACTTCTATGTAGGGGAATCATAGAAACCTTTTCCATATTCATGGATGAGTTTTGTATAAGGTGCCCACCTCATACTATTCAAGTAAGACGCACCTCTAAATTTTCTTGGAAGATATAAATCTAGCATTGAAAACCTTACAATAGCTTGAAAATCCACGTTCAAATTTAATTTTGAAATTTTAAAATCTGAAAATACTTATGATTGAGTGGATCTATAAACTCTTAAAAATCTTCAAATAACTTGTTACAGGATGCATTATTGTTATGACTTGAAATTCTTGTTTTCTTTTTTATCCATGTATCTTGATGTTGAGAGGATCAATTGCAGGGTTTTCCAATTTCAAAGCACTACTTTGTATTGGATTTTTTAGACGCACCTTATTTCTATATTTAGATACCCAACTTAAAATGAGCTAATTTCCAAATTTCATAAACCCTAATTTCCCAAAACCAATCCAATATGCCAAACTAATAATTTTACACCTTTAAGCCTAATAAATTTACGAGATTAACCCAAACACCAGAGAGCTAGCAACCTGAAGTTCTATGCATGTAAACCCCTTAAAATCAAATCAAATTGGACTAATTTTGATTCTAAAATGAAGAGAAAATCAAGAGCTTCTTAATAGTCCAATAATCACCCTAATACGGTATACGGTTTGAAAGTTATGCATAGAATAAAATTATTTATCAAAAATGTTATTAAGTTCCAGATGTCTGGAAATTTGGATTATGAGCAAAAATTGCCCGAGACATCCAAATTAGTCCACATATAATCCATTGTCCAGAGCAGTTTTGACCATCAAAACCAAAATTTTGACATAAACGCATAGAGGCTTCTAGAAAATGCGTGGGGCCTCGTAAAATAGTCCATAAAAAGCCAAACTCATGATCCAAGCTATCTTCGAGTTTTGGAAAATTTCAGTCATAAACTCTAACTTTAGAGAGAGGAAAATTCTCGAGAGTGAAACTCCAGGCCAGCATAAACCCTAGAAAACCCTTGGTCATCCAAAAAAAACCCTAATTTTGTGAAACCCTAATTTCAAGAGTCGTTAAACCCTAACAATTGTCAAACATGAGCAACAGGGTAGGTAGGTAATTATTCAAGAAAAAAATCAAGGAGAGTGGTGTAAAAAATCCGCGGTCATGGGCACCCACTTTAAGTGTTCGAATGTACCGGGCCAATCAGCCTGGCTAGATAGGTGCTAATGTTATTTTTTATTTTAATTTTAATTGAATTCATATTTTTAGTTTAATTTAATTAATTTCTCAGTTGAAATGTTTTTTGGTTAGGATTTTGATTGATCTAAAGTCAGATCTGCCGGTGTTTCTTAAAAAGCCCTAATCTCTCCAAATCTGGATTTGTTTAAAATAGTAATTTGATGGACCCCATTTATTTCTTTTGATATTAATTTTAGCTTGTTTAAAGCATAAAATTTGGTGAGATTTCTTCCAAGATCTTACTGAATTGGATAAGGTTGTAACCTTACATTAAGTTTTTCCTTCTTGGAATCTCAATAACATATGACATCTAATGGGGAACTCGCACATTTGAGCATTAATTTAGTTTCATTGCACAAAAAAAAGTTTTAAGTGAAATTAAATAAAAATAGTCCAATTGGGTGACATTTCAAGGTTTTGTAGCCTCCGAAAAAGTTTTACTTTTTAAAATCGTCTCTGAAATTTAGTTCTCTCTCTAAACTAGTGGAAACTTAGTAGATTTATGTGCATTGCATGAATGATTGTAATGCATATAAGAATAATAAAAATATTAAAATATCACAAAAAATTAATAATACAATTTTAATATTGTCGTAGGCAGAGACAGATGAACAACAAAATAAAATTCAAAGAACAAATGAAATCAATATTATCATTTTGGGGAAATTCATTAAAATGCACATCACATTTGAACGATATAACATTTTATTTTAGGTGTATTTTGATAATTTCAAACCCATTTATCATTTGATGGACTATTTGAAATTTGATCAAAAGAATGATGCACAATTTATGATCAAATCAAAAGGTATGGGTAAGATGTTAAATATTTTAAATCACATGCGTAGTTTGATAAATTTTAATATATTAATCTAATGTTAGGTGATATTTAAAATATCTCTATTTTTATATCACAACAAATATGTCAAAATATTGGAGTTGTGAGCATTTAGAATCCTGTTATGAAAAAATTCGAAATTGATCATAAGCTGCAGAAATTTTTTTGAAGCATTATCTCAATTTTGATCTTTCTAAAGCTATTCAGAAAATAAAATATCTTATAAATGAAAACTATTTCCTAATTTCAATTCCTATCTTTCAACATCAAAAAAATAAAAATAAAGTTTAATGCACCAAAAACATACAAACTTTATTAATATAAGAGAACAAAAATTGGTTTTCTAGTGTTGTCGTAGATACAACATTATTTATTTAGGCATTATAATATTCCAAACTTCAAATATTCAAAAAATATTTGGGTGGTAAATCCTAAAAATATTAGTTTATAAAGCATTTAAAATTAGAAACAGTAAAGTTGGTTTCCTTTATTTTTAATATAAATAGAGGAGTATTTTAAAAATCTAATATTGCTATTTTTGTAAAGAGTAGAGCAGTTATATTTAAAGAAAAAATAGATTGAAAATTTCTAGAAGTCACTTCCAACTAAATTATGTTTTATTTTATTTGAGAAATCTAGAAATCAATAAAATAGTTGAAAATAATTTTCGTTGCCTTGAAAATAAGTAGTAAATATAAATCTATTTAAATAAAAAAAAAGAGCAAAAGATCAAATTATGTTTTCCTATGACCAATTTTGCTCATAAAATTTCGCATAATTTTTGTGAAATATTCTGAGATTGTTGAAAGATAATTAAAGCACTAAAAAATTGCTGAAAATCGCATTGTTTTCTAATGTAATATTCTTAAAAGAGCAATAAAATGAGTCATCAATGTAATTTTGAAGTACTCAAATCTAGAAATTAATGCTTGGAAAATTTGAGGCATAAAAATTTGTATTTAAAATGATAAAATATTGACAAATTTATGAAGGCAATCTAAGTTGGTTGCTTATTTCAAACAACACAACTATTTCCTTAACCATGTAAATTGTAATAAGAACTATTAACTTCACACGTCCTCTCTATTTCTTTTGGATATCTCAATTTGTTACGAAAGTGGCACTTATTTAGGATAAACACGATAGTTTCAATATACAAATCTATCAAAAGAACAATGATTTCATGCAACCCTTGTGCAGTAATATGACGCAATAACTTTAAAAAACCATCTTATGATTATTTGTTTGATCCAGATTTTGAAATATACACTCTTTTCATTCTAATGAACATTCACAAAAAAAGAAAAAAATGAAAACACAAACTAGAAAGTATTTTTTTACCCCAATTAACATAGGCCGTTCATTTTGGTGAGATGATTAGATCTAGGCCTTAAAAAGATTTTTTCATTTCCAATTTTTTTGGATGACTTTGTTATCATTAGATGAACAATGTTAAAAAATAAAAAAATGATTTTGAGTTTATAAAGGCTAAGATCTTGAAATTCTCAAAATGAATGGTCTAGATTCGTTTTTGGAGAGGACTCATTTTGACTATATCTAGAGTTCAAATTGATTTTTTTTAAAAAAAGAGGGAGGGGGATTTGATTATTGAGATGAAGAGAAAGTACGTGCAAAATTTGAAATCATACAAATACTACAAACATGATTTTCTAGAAGTTTCGTTTCATTATACTATGACACAACCGTTGCATTGGATCATTTCTTTTATCAAAATTCATCCAAATCTCTTTATAAGATGCAAATGATTTCTAAAATAAACCCTAAGCTCTTTTTAAATTTTTGTAAAGAGCTCTACATTTCTTTTATGCGACTCTACATCTTTTTAAATCTACCTCAAAATTTTAGGAGACAAGAAGTAAATAAATATTTTTTTTTTTTTCTAATATTCTATCTATCCGATGCACTTAATTTCTTTCATGTCATCTCTTTAAATTCTAAAAAATATATTTGATCTATCTAATTAGAAAGATATTTATCTTAAAATCTATCTAAAAAATTCTTACTTCCGGCCTTTATCAACTCTAAATAAATTTAGCTCTATAAAGCCCTTCCCAAGTTTAGAGCGCTCTTTATCTCTATGACAAAAGGTAGGTTAGGGTTCAAAAGTAGGTTAGGTTAGTGCCATTTTCTCTCACTAAAAATAAAAATATATTTCTCTCACTAGGAAAGAAACCCAATTCGTATTGCAGTTCGCTGCTCATCTCTTCTTAGTTTTGACTGTTGAACCAAGTCCCTCTTTGTGGAGGATTGAGAATGGATTTCTCGGAGCAAGACGTGGATGTGTTTGGTGATGATGAGGAGAGAGAGAATGAAGCAGGAAACCATGATTCTTCAGCGTCTAACTCCCCTTCTTCTTCCCCTGCTTCCTCTTCTTCTTCCTCTTCTTCTGATGATGACGATAACGGCGATGGAGATGGCGATAATAGGAGAGATTCGGGTACGAGTGGAGAGAGCAGCAGTGGTGATGGTAGTGGAAGTGGTAGTGATGAAGAAGGAGGAGAATGCAGAAGTAGGTCTGATCATAAAGATCTCTTTGGCTCTGATGATGAGGATTATATGAAAACTCTAGCAAAAAGCCCATTTCCAGTGCCCAGTGAGTTCAAGCTTTTGATTTATTACTTTCTGCTTCTCTATCTTCTCGTTGTTAAATTGTGGTGATTATATTTTGAGTGGTGGATCTCTCTCTATCTCCAGTATCTCTATCTACGGCAAGTTCTAAGGAGAAAGCGGGTAACAATCTAGAAATCACCTGCTATAAAAAATTGACAACGAGAGTTATGTTTGAATTAACTTCGATGGGTCTAATTTGAAGTATGAATTGTGCGTTGTGTTGGGGATCGAATAACCCAAAATCCCAAATAAACCAACCACCGAATATCACACACACAAAAACCTAGTATAAGTGAAATGATGACCCAATAACAAACCCAAGCAACCATGTCAAATAAAATTAAGAGAAAAATAAATAAAAGATAGAATAACCAAATGACCTGAGAAAATGAAGAAGAAGCCACAACACTGAATTTTACCTGGTTTTCCGTGATGCATCTGCGGGCAAGGTGGCAAACAAAATTCCACTACCAAGATAAATTTACAATGAGAGATACAATGTTACCTCAATGGAGAAAATCAGTGAAAAATCATCACGAAAACACCTTTTTGGACTCACCAAAACCCACAATTTACCACTGTGATTCTCTACTACTTTAGATAATTCAAGAACAAGAGCAATACAAGCTCACATGATCTCCCCACAAAGAGGGACAATATGCACCTTCTTCATCCCTTACCCTTTCTCCATTTTACCAAAAGGGAAACCCTACCTTTGTGGAGAAAGAAAAAACAAGAAGGAAAAAGAAAATTGGGCCCAAATGGTTCCAAACTCTTTTATATGACTTATTTTTAGTAATTAGAAAGGAGCCCCAAAAACATTCGACAAATACATCAATGCCCCCATTACGTGATTTCCTATCACTGCTTACATTCTCCACATTGATAGTAAATCACCTACTTGCCTTGCCAATAATTCCTACATTTGCTTTTTCATGAAGCCTAGACAAATTATGTTCAATTACAACTTCTTTACTAAACCCGCTTTTGTGAGCATATTTGCCATATTCTTCTCAGTTCCAAGTTCCAACTTTCACCAACCGAACTAACCATCTTTGACAATTTGTTGAACATAATGGTGTCAGACCAATATGTGCTTCGTTCTCTTGTGGTATATGGGTTCTTAGCCAAATTAATGGCACTCATGTTATCATATAGTATTTCCATGGGTTTGGAATGACCCATAAGACCTTGAAGCCAGACCGCTTTTTTGCTTACTCCTTTTGCTGCCATGTATTCACCCTTGGTGGTTGAACTTGAAAAGATATCTGGTAATTGATCTTCCTCAATTAAGATCCCGGTATAATTTGGATCAACATAGCCTTGAATGTGCCTTGAGTCTTTGCTCAATGTCATAGCATAATTCCTTGTGCCTCTTGAATCCCGAAGCTTCCATTTTGGACCTTCCCAATGAGCCTTTATGAGATTTGCCATATAGTGACTTGAAACATCCATGGTGTATGGAATGTTCGGCCTAGTACACACCATGACAAAGTTAAGGCTTCCCACAAAACTTGCATACGGCACCCTCGCCATAGTTTATTTTCTACCTTCGCTCTTTGGACTTGTTTTGGAAGACAACTTGAAATGAGGAGCTAATGAAATCTTCACTAGTTTTGCCTTACTCATGCTAAATTTATAAAGCATCTTTTCTACAAAACCCTTTTGTGAAAGTGACAAAGTCCCACTCCATTGATCTCTTTGAGTTTCAATTCGAAATATTTGTTTTGCAGGCCCTAGATCTTTCATTTCAGAATTCTTGCTCAAAGATTCCTTGAGCTCATCAATCACAACCTAATCCTTGCATGCCAAAAGTATATCATCAACATAAAAGAATAAGATCAATTAAGTACCATCATTAAAAAAAAAACTTCATATAAACACAATAGTCTCACTCCTTTGGTATCCAAGATCTACTATTGGACATGTCAAAAGTCTTGTATCATTGTCATGATACTTGTTCGAGTCCATATATCGATTTCTTTAACTTGCACACTATTTTTCTTTTCTCTTTTTAAGAAACCCTTCCGATTGATGCATATATATTTCTTCCTCAAATTCACCATATAAGAAAAGCTGTTTTTGCATCCATTTGTTCAAGTTTTAAATTATATAATGCAACAAGCCCAAGCATTAATCGGATAGAGTCTAGCTTCACAACTGGTATTAGGATTTCAAGGAAATCGACACCTTCCTTTTGTGCAAAACCCTTCGCAACTAGCCTCGCCCTATGCTTTTTTATATTTCTATCAATCTCTTTCTTGATTTGAACACCCACTTGCAACCAATTGCTTTCCTAACTTTTGGTAGTTCTACCAAATCCCAAGTCTTGTTCTTTCTAAGAGCCAACGTTTATTCTTTGATGACTTTCTTCCAAGATATGAAATCATCCCCTAACAGAGCGTCTTTATAAGTGCTCGTTTCTTCATTCATGACCACCAAAACAAATAACGATCCACATTGTCCTTAAACAGCTATAGTGGATGAATTACTCTTGAAGATTGTCTTGGCATGGATGGTGTAACTTCTTTATGTGAATCACTGGGTTCACCAATGCCCTTCATCATCAATGAATTATTTGTTAATACTTGTGGGTGCATCTTCCGGTATATGACCCTCACTAGATGATGGAACATAGGGTCGAAAATCAATTTCTTGGGTGTTATTTCGAGATTCTTCCTTTTTTTTAGTCTACTTTCGTATGTCTCTTGCCAACATAGAGGCCTCATCAAAATGCTCATCTCGGCTTGTAACACTTTCATCCCATAACCTGTATCTTTTCACACTTTTGTTATGCATTTATTTGATTTTAGTTTGAGCTTATTGCTTTGACAACTAGGAATTAAAACATAAGCATCACAAGAAAAATCTTCAAATCAAAATCACAAGGGGTTTTGAACTATACTTCATGTGGATTTTTCTCCCCCAATGCCGCTGAATGTGATTGATTGATGAGATAACAAGTTGCCATTACGACTTTGGGCCATAGTTTTTGCTCTAATCCGACATTGTTCAACATGCTTTTAGCTCGCTCCATCAATGTGTGATCGATCCTTTTCGCAACACAATTTTGTTGGGGAGTTTATACCTTGATGAAATGCCTCTTGATTCTTTCATCTTTACAAAATTTTATGAACTCATCAGAATTGTACACCCATTATCGTTGGAGTGTTTTGATGTAGTGCCCCGTAGTCTTTTCAACTTCTGCCTTGAAATGCTTAAAGGCAAAAAACGTATTACTCTTTGATTTTAAGAGTGAACACCTATACCCTCCTTGAGAAGTCATCAACAAAAGAAATAAAATATAATGCACCACCATATGATATAGTAGGCGAGGGCCCCATAAATCTGAGTGAATGTAGTAAAGTATTCCCTTGCTTATATGACCCTTTGGCTTTGAAATTTCGTGTAAGTTGTTTTCTATGGACACAATGCTCATAAAACACAATTCCCCAATTTTTATGGTGGGAATTAGATTTCTCATGATCAAAATCTCCATACCTTTTCAGATTTACAAAAAAAGAAAAATCTCCATACTCTTTTCACTCAACTGGCCCAACCTTCTATTCCATAAACATAGTGGAAGATCATTACTTTCTACCACCAAATGTGCCGCATCAACAACAATAAAGCTTCCTCATAATTTATACAAGTTCCTAACTCTAACATCCTTGATCATAACAAGAGCACCCTTTGATACGTTGAGAACTCCATCTTGCAAGTAAATATATGGCCATCAGAATCCAACAAAGAAAGAGAAGTCAAATTATTCTTTTGAGTCTGGCACATTTCTAACACTCTCAAGTGTGAGGATACTTCCATCATACATCCTTAATTTCACCGAACAATTCCCAACCAATCTACTACTTGAATTGTTTGCCCATCAACATAGAACCACCCTCACATGACTCATATGAACTAAATACTATCCAATTTCTAATTTTGATGGAATTCAGAATTGTAACCTGCGGTATAAACTTCTTCAATGAAACCAGATGTAGATTCTTTCCACTGGATTTGCCTCATTCTTGGGCTTATTGTTTTCCCTTTTTTTTTTATTTTTGTCCTCTCCTTTTCGTATGATTTCTTTTTTCCCCAACAAATAAATTTCTTTTCCCAACCTTTAGACTTTGATCAACTTTTTGACTTACTTTATGAAGATTTTTGATAAGTCCCCTTGGTATGTGAACTTTCGATTCTGGTTCATCAATGGGTGCTTTTTTTCCGAAGTTCATAGGCAAGCAAAGTGCTACACATCGTACTCAAGCCAAGTGAATATTCTTTAGTGTAACTTAATGTTGTCACTAAATTATTATAACATTCCTGTAAAGTACATAACAACATTACCGCCTTATCCTCATCTTTCATTTTTTTCACCAACACTTTCAAGTTCACAAGTAATATTATTAAGAGTGTTCAAATGATCGGATACTTTTGTCCCCTCTTTCATCCTTAAGCTTTTCTCTGTAATAGAATAAGATTTGTAAAAGATTTATTTTGGTAAACACTCCAACTTCTCTCACAAACCCTTTGAGGTTTTTTATCCCATTGTATTGAATAAAATCTTATTTGCTAACACAATTGGTTATAGCCATAGACTTAAGGTCCAATTCCTCCCCTTCTTTGTTACTCCTGGATTCCAACTTCTTTTTCTTTCCGAGTAACTCTTTGTATGGTCATTGCTGGACCAAAAGATTATGAATTTGAATTTTCCATATTCCAAAATGATTTTGCCCATCAAATTTCTCCACCTCAAACCGATTACTCGCTATTCTCCAAAAATATTGCACAACACCTAAAGCTCTGATACCACTTATTGGGGATCGAATAACTGGAAACCCCATATAAGCCGATCACCGAATATCACACACTCAAAATTGATGCATGTGAAACCGATAACCCAATAATGAACCCAAGCAAGAGTATGAAATAAAATTAGGGGAAAATAAATAAGAGATGGAATAACCAAATCACAATAGGAAATGAAGAACAAACCACAAAACTGACTTTTATGTGATTCACCCCATAGGGCTATGTCCATGGGCATTGCAAGCAAAATTTCTACATCAAAGAGAAGTTGACAATGGGAGTTACAATGATATCTCAATGGAGAAAACCAGTGAGAAATTCTCACTAAACCACCTTCTTGGACTCATCCAAAACTCGCGATTTACCACCGTGATTCTCTACTTCAGATGATCCAAGAACGAGAGCAATACAAGCTCACACAATCTCCCCACAAAAAGGGACAACAAGCACTGTCTTTGTCCCTTCCCCTTTCTCCCTTTTACCAAAAGTAAACCCTACCTTTCTAGAGAGAAAGGACAAGAAAGAAAATAAAATTGGGCTGAAATGGCTCTTCACACTCTTTTATATGACTTAGTTTTATTAATTTCAAAAGAGCCCCAAAAACATTTGAAAAATGCCAATAATGCCCCATTAGGTGATTTCCTATCACCATTAACACATCATGTTGGCATTTTTTCAAAAAGGGTCTTCCAATATTCATATAAGCTGCACTTCCTTGTACACTATAATTAATTTTGGAACTGCATATTAGATGATGATATTTGTTTCAAAGTTGATGGATCATAATGGATTGAAGGGTGCATCTTTGCCTGGCATAAACTCAAATTTGAGCTGTGGTTACTATTTAGTTGTGATTGGTTTTAGAGGATTTTGGCATCAACTTTTGTGAGCTTGTTTTATTAGGTGGGTTTCTAAGAACTTTGATTTGCAGGAGTTATGTGACTCATGAGAATGCTTGCATACTAACTTAGTAACTTATTCTTCCTTCTAGAGAAATTGAAAATTGAAAATTTATAGATATCCTGAACTACCAATTGAGGTTCTAGGGGACCCAATGCGCATATGGCACATATTACTTAAGTAATGTGTTACATGGATTCTTCTGTTTGGATGCCCTACCTGTATTGAATATACACACATAATGACACATTCTTCTGGATTCTTCTTCTTGTTATACTAACCATTGGTTACATTAGTTTAGAGGCTTGATCTTCTTTTTTGTTTTTAACTAGACAAATAGGAACTATGAAAATATCTTTGGATTCAGCCAAGTATGGTATAATTGGCTTTTTGTTCCACTGATCATGAAACGGGATATTATTAGAACATTGTTGGATTTGTTTATCTTTTCATAATATAGTTATGTTGCCGAATCCTTTGTTTCATGGCATGGGGAATCTGACCCCTTGTACTTGCATTCGACATTGAAAAATGCACTTGTGTCCATGCAACATAGTTTAAGCATCTCTGTATAGCATAACCGAGTAACCTATCATTCTCCTTATCGAGATCCATACATTAAGTAGTCAAGGTCCACACATGGTAAGTCCCTTGGTTAATGATGTTTAATTTATTATTTCACTTGTGAGTCATTACACGTCTAGAGTCTACACAATTTCACATGCCATAGACGAGATGCACGACAGTCACACTAACCTTCTGTAAAATAGGAGTCAAGAGCTTATGCTTACCTAGCAATCCCAAGATCATTAAAAGCTGTCTATACCCCTAATCCATGATATTGACATGTATTCAGAACATCATTGACTAATGCTTTGCAAAAGATTATGAAGTTTATGCCGTCATGTTTAAGTTAATTATGAAGCACCTGATTATCGAAGTCTTTAGTAATACTTAATTTTAATACATATTTATCATACTTGTTGCTGAGATCTTCCAACATAAGTGAAGACCCCACTTTAGAATCTCACTGTGGCTCTCTGGACAGGGATCTTCGAAGGATCTTGATTTTTAAATTTTGGCATCTTGACCCCCACCATTATGGATCTTGATTCCAACAATTTGGGATCTCAATCCCCATCTTAAAAACCAGGATAACGACTAAGCTAATGATTTTCTTTATTTATAAACACATGCAACGATACTTTTAATGTAGTTTCATGGATTCCTCGCTATAACTTAACAGATCCCCACTTTAAAAGCATATATATTCCTGGACTATATATACTATTTAAAGTTGGGAGCAAGATCCCTAGAAGTTTGGGATTGAGATTCCTAACATTTGGGAATCTTGATCCTCTAACATATGCATTGTATTGATAGCGCTCCCAACCATAAGGATCTTTTAGCCTTGCACATTTCCAGTTCCTGCTCTTGATTCTGATCCCTCTTCTAATCTCACTCCCGGTCCCAACAACTATGTTTGGGAAAATTTCTACAGAATCTCCTACATGCACATATAGATATATACATTTTATGTTTATGCATATATACATACATGCACATACAATATATTCACATACATTTGCATGTATGAGTGCATATGTTCATATATTTATTAGAGCAGGTTATCTGAAAATGGGTTCGGAATTCTGATGAATTTTGTTTTTGATACTTATGATACTCTTTTGCTCACCTTTTTTCTACTCACACTTAAAATGCAGCATTACCTGTTATTCGCATATCTAACAATCAGAACAGAATGAACTCTGGAAGAGGTCGCTGGCAGCCTAGTTTTTCAAATGGTGGTAGAGGAATCCTCCCACGTGGGCCATATCATCACAGGCAGCCATTTGGCGCTTCTCATCCAGGTCATAGATTTGCAAATGGACGTCCAGATGAACGCCTCGTTTCTGAAATGATGCTTTCTATGAGTGAGGAGACTTTGTCTAGAAAGAATGTTAAAATACAAGAGGTATTTCAAAGTTCTTGGTTTGGTGATTGAATGCCCGTTTTACTGGTCATAAATTTTGTCTAATGCTCCCAAATTTGTGGCTATTGACTCAATAGCCTTGCGAGCTTGCATGTTACAGCCGAGTTGAAGGTGGAGAGGTCCATTTTGATGATCGTTGCCTGGTAAGAGTCCTGGTTTCATTTTGGTTATGATTCAGGATAGTTGTTCCTAGATTTTTGTAACATATATTATCAACATTTGCGCCTTATGAATTTCTGACATCTGTGACAGATTAGCTCAAGTTCTACCGTATCTGATTGAAATTTTTTTTTTGGTATTTTTAAGAAAGAGTGGGATAGAGGGCATATTGGTTGAATGCTATAAAATTGATCGTATTTGTGTCATTTCCTGAGGGAGAGAGGAATGGGGTTGGTTTGAGAGTTTATTTAGTGTGAGCACATTTCCTGAGGGAGAGAGGAATGGGGTTGGTTTGAGAGTTTATTTAGTGTGAGCAGTGTTGGGAAATACATGAGCCACTGACTAGGCAGCCAAGGACGACTGGCCAACTTGGCATGAGGCGCACGCGAAGGTGGTCACTTTGGTTTTGAGGCGCCCTACACACTTATATGCCTGAAAGTACATATGTACATACGTGCATGCATACACACTCTCTCTCTCACACATATACATATATGTCCCAAACATATATTTATGCATATATAAGCACCTGAAACACGTTGAAGACACCAATGCTGCCTTGATCTTCGATGTTTGGATAAATATCGAGCTCTACATCACCCAAAATATCCTCTTACAATTTCTTCATAGATCACAATGAATTATATCCAAAAAAAAAAAAGATTTGAGAAGATTTCTTGAACTTCATGAATTCTTTTTTATCTCAAAAAAGTAAATAAAAACCTTCAAATTATAGATATGTTTAAGAGGATATTTTGGGTGATTTAGGGTGCAATATTCATCCAAACATCGAGGATCAAAGCTTGGCATTTTCAACGCATTATATATATAGGAAATGGTTAAAAAAGGTCTTGGCTTTATGGGAAAAAGTAAAGCCTCACCAAAATTGTAGTTCGAGCATTGGAAAACCTTCAAATTGATCATATCGACCTTGACTATTATGGTTTGTGAAAAGAATTAGGATTTCAAGCTAAAAGTAGTGTTTATTGTAACACATCATCTAGACCATCCGTTTTCTAGTGTTCAAAGATCCACTCGATCTTTACCATGTTTTGACCTTTAAATTTTATAGTCGGTGGTGGAAATTGATTTTAGAGCGATCATAGAGATTTCCAATGCCCAAAGCGTTTTCCAGATGAGGTTCCAAGGTGCGGCTTTACTTTTCATAAAACCTTGGCCTTACAAAAACTATATATATATATGATTGGGATATATATGTATATATGTGTGTGTAGGAGAGTGTGTGTGTGTGTATGCATGTATATATGTGAGTAGTTGGAGTTTGCATACTGTTTCTCAGCTATTTAACAACAAATCATATCGAAAAAACAAATAGATTTGAGAAGATTTATTGTATTTCTTCAACTTTTTTGTAAAATTTGTTTTTTTTTTTTTAAACTCTAAAATACGCTTAGAAGTAGTTTGAAAGAGAAAGATATAGGGGGGGTGGGGGGGTGTGAGGCTGCTATAAAACATCCCCTTCCCCCAAAACTCCCCAGGGTTCAAATCTTTTCTTTCCCTTAAAAGGGGGAAAGGGTACTTTTGCCCATGACCGGGGGAAATACCTTTGGTCCATGGGCAATCGAGGTGGCGCCTTTGTTGAGCTGCGATGCGAACTTCTTTTACATTGGGTGTGAGTGATTCATTTTTATGTTTATATATGGTGGAAAGAAATCAGTTTATTTATTGTCATAGAATTCATATTATATCGGCTGTCACAATGCTGTGGCATCTTTTAGATCATGTTTGCTTATTTTTCTCATTATTAGTTACATTTTTATAGTTCTTCATTATCTATCTGTGACTATTTCATGCTTGATTTACTGAAATCCTTGTTCATTCTTTATGTGCTTTCAGAGACAGTTTAGGCGCCTTGTTTCTGAAGAAGTAGGAGCTGATCTAAATGCAGGATTTGAAACTTTTATTGAAAAGAGAGGTGAACTTTAACTCATGAGCATTCAAATAACTGGGAGTTCATTGCATTATCTCAAGAAGCATGTTATTTGGAGGTTTCTTTTTTATTTTTTCTCCTTTGTTTTTGCTCATCTGATTTTGCTATCCATCTCTGCTAAAGGTCATGGATTTTGTGAATGGTGTGGGGTTACACTATTTATAATTCGATATAGAAACTACATGTCATACAATTACGAGAGATTCTCTCTCTTTGCTCCTGAAAATTGCTCTACAAGGCAACACTTGTGCTTGTATAAGTTTGAAGTGGAGTTTCTGATTATGATTATGCTGCTATAGATGGATATACTTAGGGGTTATGGCTCTCTCTCTCTCTCTCTCTCTCCTTCCCTCCTCCCCCCCCTCCCACACCCGCCTTCCCCATCCCCACCCCCCAAAACAAAAGAAGAAAAAGGGGGGGCTTCTCTCCTCTGTTGAGAAAGAATACCTCACAGTCTCATAATCAATAAAAAAATGAGCACTTTAACTGCTCGCCTTAGTCTCTCTGTTGAAGTCCTAATATTCAGCGTAGAGCGTGGGTGTCTGAACATTTGATGTTGCAAGAATTATCACTCTAATATGAGTACTTTTCTACACTGTTAATTTTTTCTTTTTTTGGTCCAGCTGGGATTCAATCCTTAGACATATGCCTTGATGCCTTCATATTTTTGTCTTGGGTTCTCCTTGATGCTTGCTGAAACAAATTTTTAGTGTTCTGGCAAATGGGCTAACTCTATGGTTTGCTCTTTAAATCAGACACAGATAATGAAGGATTTGGTGATCTCCTTGCTTCCATAAGAAACAAAAAGATCCCACTTCAAAATATTCATTTTGTGGTAAGTAGTGTCATTTTGTTAGAACTGAATCAAGCTTTTTGATGCTAAATGGCATTCACTACTGATTTCCTGGTATAATATTTTAATGTTCCAATTATGCCTGATATAGTTCTTTATTTGCCACAGACTTTCCGGAACAACCTCAACAAGGTAATGGCTGATTCCATTATACAGTGGCTTAACCTTCCTGGTGGCACATTCCTTGGAATTACATCTACTAGAAAGATAACTTATGCTATTTAGGTTTGTTTCATTCGGTTATGGTTCCGTAGAGCATGGATGTGGTTTATCTAAATCTGCAGTTAATTTTGGCTGTCGTTTTGGTTATATGAAGATATTCATGTATTTTTTCTTTTGATTTCGATTAACTATTAGATTGGCATATCAAAAGTTCTCACATGGGTAGATATTCCTATAATATTACCACCCAACATACATACTACATACATATACCTGTGGATACACACACACACATGCAAAATACATTCATATACATGTATATTTGTTTGTGTGAGCATATGTGCATGCAGGTATGTATGCATGTGGCATGCACACACATTTTCTCGTGTATCTGACCCTTAATTTTACTTTTTATGCCATGAATAAAGGGATATTTCATGATTGAGGAATTTTTGAAGCTCTCAGTGTTGTGTTTTAGATTATGGCGACTGCTTACAATCGACTTGATCCATGGGAGATGGGTGTACACAAGAGAAACGGTGTGGTCTATCTTGATGTGCATAAGCTCCCTGAAAGGCCACAAAATGAGCTAGACCGTCGAAGGTATTTCTTTTTTTATTTCAATCCCCTGGATTTGTAAGTGAAAATTTTCAACTTTTTTAAATTTGTTTTCTTAATTTAACCTGTTTTTTTTTTTTTCATTGTGGTTACTATCATCTAGTTAAATGGCTTCTACTTCGGTATTGTCAATTGGTGGTGTCTCTCGTGTGCAGTTTTTGATTAATAATAATAATAATTTTTTTTGAGAATGTTAACTTATATTAAGTATATTGATCTTTACAAAAAATTTACAAGAGCAGCAAAAAACAAAAAAGCTAGACTGATGGCATCTAGGTTAGGGTGGACTGAGCCCCCTCCTTAGCCAGTGCATCAGCTGAGAAATTCGATTCCCTAAAATTGTGGTTCCAGGAAATGAAGAGGTTTATGGAAATTTGGCCCATCTCCTAAAAAATGTGGTCTAATCTCCTCAGGCAAGAGGTGGGATTGGATGCCCATGATATGACATTTCTTGAATCTTCTTCCCCCAAAAGCCGAGAACTCCAAAGAGGGTTAAACTTGCAAAGGCCCTCTAAAAGAGCTAGAGCCTCAGCAAGAGTCAGAGTCGGCTACTGGGTAGAGCTGATGATTACCCTTCCTGCTGATGGGTGCAGAGGACTCTACCCCGATGAGACTAGTTGCGTTTAGCTGGCACACTTTCATGGAATGTATTCTGAATGTGGACCATCTGCATGTGTGTTATGTACCATGGACCTCTTGCAATAACCTTATAGTCCTTTATATTGGACCTCATCCAGCTACCTTAGGTGAGCTTTGGCAGGAGGCAATTTTGATATCTGGTTTGTTTATTTTCGAGATAGGGGCCTCCTTTTGTGGAAAGTATGTCTTGTGGCTTATATGGAAGGAGTGTGATAACCGGATATTTAGTGGAGAGGGAGTTAAGGGACTGATCCTTCTAATATGGAGAGAATCTGTGATCAAGTCGTTCTCTGGGCTCTGGTGAGGCCAGAATTTTATCGATTCTGGACAGTGGACATCCTCAGAGATTGGAGGACTGTGGCACTCTCATTGTCAGCGCTACCAGATTGGGTTGCAGGTGAAAGGCACCTCTAGGAGGAACCATAAAGCTTAACATTGATGGATGTTCACGGTATAGGTGGATGGGGCACCAAGGGACTTTGAGGGAAGGATTATTCTCTTGTTTTCAGTCTCAGTATTTTTTTTTGTGACTCTACGTCTGTGGAGGCCAGTGGGTAGTTGTGGGTTTGCACCTACGCTTTCAAAGGTGGATGCCCTGTTGTTATAGAATGGGATAGCCATATTGTGATCAGATGGGCGAGTGAGGATGCTTTCTTCCCCTTGGCACTTGGAGGTGTTGTTTGATAAGATTGGCGCATTTGCTATGGGTCCCACTGCTTTAACATGTAAAGGGGAAGCCAACGATGAGGCTGACACATCAGCTAATGGAGATGCTGCACAGGATTCTTTATTGGTAGAGGTGTTTCTTTTGTAGGTCATCAAGATGCTGCATTAGCGTATCTTTGTTTTTTTGTTGCTCTCTTTTGTATTACTCTTGACATTCATGAAATTTTGTTACTGATGAAAGAAGTGGGCAGGGGGGGGGGAGAGAAGTCTCCAAGTAATTACTTGGTGGAGAGTACTACTCTGTTCAACATTTCTAAGAAGTAATAGGTTAACTTGAAGTACTCAAAGCTCCCAGGAAATGTTGATTATGAACGACGAATCCCAAGCCAGTTGGAGATCCTGGTCAGTGAAATTCCATGCAGTGCTTGAGTTTTAGCAATAAATTGTAAAGCTGTGGTTTAGTACCTTCGTGAGTTGTATAGACACAAAAACTTAGAGGGGATCCTCTTAGTCCCTCATTTTGCCCTTGGTAGTTGGCCTCATTTGTGGCACTCTGCGGAACACCCTCCTCCAACACTGGTTTGAAATTTGAATCCCCATATGGGATGCACATTCTCCTCTTTTTCTCCGGTGACACTGAGAGTGATGGACCAACTTTACCTAGTCCCTAATTTTCTTTTATCTACTCTATGGTTTTTAAACATATGAAGTTCCGATTTACTTTTAGAAATCAATCACATGGCTTATTTTGTTGGTATACATATCTCTATTGTATCTGCTCATATGCCTAATTTTAACCAATTAGGTCCTGTTTGAGAAGACCAAAGACAGGGCTGTTTCTCTTCATCACCCCTTTAGGAGTGAAAAAGGGTCCAGCTTGTTCCACTCGTCTATTCACGGGCCCGTCCCTTTTTGTAACCCTTCTTATCAAAGAAAGGTTGCCCAAATGTCCTCAACCCTGCAGCAAAACACCTGTTTTCCCCCAGCTCTGAACAATTCCCCATGTTGAGTTGTCTTAATCTTCATTGAGTACTGCTTTTATGAGTTATCTTCATAGAGTATTGCTGATTCATATTGACTTATCGTAGAGGACTCTCAATGATTCCTGAATGTTGTCTAGCACGGCGAGTCCTTAGCTCTCGCTCAAGTTGACTTGGTTGGTATCCAATATCCATTCACAATGATGAACGCCAGGGCAAATTAATCTTCACCTTCTGTCATTAAGAACTGAAGGTGGATGTCCTGGTTGTCTATCTTAAAGGCTAATGTCATTATTTGCTTTGCTTTGGCCGAAGGGGCTGAGGAGAAGAACAATAAAAACTGAAGCAGTGGTAAAAAGCTTGATAATTTTTTCAATTTTTTCCTGATTTTTGAAAGGCTCCCGAATTTTGAAAAGTTGCCTATATATTGATTTTTACCCCTGAAAAGTGATTGAGTTCTACCAATGTATGTACTAGGTTTTCTATGATCAGCATTTTTTTGGGAGATGAACATCTCTTTATTGTAGGTGCTTAGAGATGAACATTAATCTTTAGGATTTTACGCTATTTGTAGAAAACCTAATATTTAGAAACAAATCTTGGGGTTTATGTGGACTTATTTTCAAGAATCAAACCTACTATTTTTGAGCTTCCTTTTTTTGATACCGTTAACATTGTATTGATGGAAAAGAGAGGTACAAAAAGTCACCCAAGCGAATAACTACTATTTTTTAGTTTCTTTACTTCTTAAAACAAAGTAAATAACAGGATTTAAGGAGCCCCCCAAATGCAGATATAAGTTACTTACAAAAGATCATTACCATTAAAGGCATGTGAATCGTTGGTGAGTAATGAAGATTAAGGGCATTTGGAAGCAGCATAGGTGTCTTCATGTTTATTGTAAATCGTGAACCAAAGCAAAACAGATCTCTTTTTTGTGACCTTAGTAGCATTTTGCTGTGGTTTCCAAATACATGCGCCCAGGAAATGGAGCGCAACATATATTTTTGTGAAACAGTTCCTTGATGTGTACGATTTAAAAAATACTGTCATATTTCGTGGTCTGCCGCCCAAACACTTCCCCAGCTATATATTGGTAACTTACTTAAAAGACACAGTTATAGCTCGATATTTAAGTTTGAAATATGTGTGCATTTACGTAGTGGCTTCGACATACTCACATAGCACAAATGAATTAGTTTGGTTGCACAGTTAATCTCCTTAGAAAATGCTACTGTTTATTTGTTTCAAATTACAAGTATAGAAATCCAATAAAAGCTCCATCATATTTTTCATATATTTATGAAAGTTTTCATGTCTTATTTTTAAAACGAATTCCCAAAGATTTCCCTCGAATCGCAGAAATGAATTGTTTCTGTCCCTTAGCCAAAGCAAAGAGGGCTCGGAAGAGAATCCAATAACTTTGGTAAAGGTTTATAGCATACAGTATGTGTATGGTTACTTTTCCTTAATTCTGTTCACAAATTTTCTCTACAATCAACTTTATGACATTAGGTGTCATCCCATCTACTTTGCAATCCTAATGCCAACAAATTGCGTCATCTTTATTTTGTATTCATGCTGATTCTTCTTTGATTACATTCATATTGTTGCAGATGCTACTGGGGTTATTCTTTTGAGAATCTTGCCACTGAAGAATCTAGAAGAAATGATATCGATAATTTGCATCCTGTTGATGCGAATGTTGAATTCTGTGCTGTCATTAAGACCAAATTAGGCGCACATCGCATAATTATGGGTGCTGAGATGGATTGCTATGATATCAGTGACAATGGGAGGAAGCATTATATAGAGCTGAAGACTAATCGTGAGGTTACCTCTTTTCCTCCATTGATGTAAATTTGAAGCTAACCTTAGATATGTTGTGGATTTCGTTCTATTTTTGACTAGTAAAGTAATTGTTGTGATGGCATTTGATTTTGATGAACAGTTGGACTTCCACACCGAGGAAAGATTTGAAAGGGAGAAACTGCTAAAGTTCTGGGTACAGGCTCTTTCTACCCATTAAGAATGTTAACGTTTTTGTGTAAGTTGTGCTCTCAGTATCTGACTGGCATCTGGATGTGATCACTGATTCACTTCCTAAGCTTTTCCTTCCCAAGCCTTTCTCTGGTGTCATTCTTTCCTTATACTGTTTTTGTACAATGAGATCCCCTAGATTATTAGGCTAATTTGTCGATCCACAGATGGCCTTCCTTTTTTTTTCTCATGTATGTGGAAAACTTATTATTGTTTTTGATGGATCCTTGTTAGATTCTATTGTGTGACTTCTAGCATTACTTTCAAAACTTTTTGGATTACGTAGTTTGTTATGCTATCGTTAGACTTTCCAATTGAATGTATTTTGCATTTATTGCTTATCTGAGCCTCAATATGATGATAAGATGCCTTGATACAATGCAGCAAATAGAAAATTTCACATTATCTTCCTTTGTGAATTTTCAAACTCATGCTTGGATTTCCTCTTGTGATTCACTTGCAGTTTCTTCTAGTTAAAATATAATTTAAGATGGGGATATCGAATTGTCATGTTAGCAGCTGAAAGGATTGGGAACCCATCATGGAGGATAAAATACCGTCAAAGAATATAATGAATGATTTCAGCTGATGAGAATGCTCCAGAACATGTATTACAGTACATTGCAGTTCACTCTATTGGGATTAAAAACCGAGATTGGGATTTTGAATTGACTCCTACAAAATAATTTTAAAGCCAGTTTGGATGTGGCGTATAAGCTGCCTCACCAAGGCGCCCCATTGGGGGCAGGGCAGAATGGCTTTTAAATTTTTACCGCCATCCATGATAAGCATTGTTTTCCATACATGTGCAGCTGTTATGATGTAGCTATTGGACCTGCACCAAATTATGTGCATATAAAGCTGCTGCATTGGCTAATTATACATGATCCAAACAAGTCCTTAGAGAGTAGCTATAACTGGGCTTGAGTTGTCTATTTTTGAGGGTTTCCTGGGCCAGGGATTTTGTTTGAATGCCATGATTTTTGACGAGTTGAGAGAGCCTTGTCAGTGTCTGGCATGAGGTATGAACCTCTTCAATAAGTTCATAGAATTATGGATACAAAGAAAAGATTAAAATTGTGTGCATCCATTCAGGCAAAAATAAAATAGGTACATCAAATAAATCTGGACAAGACTTTCTTTTATGAAGACCACTAATATCCTTAGTCACTTTCTAGAGATTTGTGATGACAATTGTCTCCCCAACTAGAGGTGCAATTGCTGTTGAAATGTCTATGAACTGGCCTTCAACGTTCATCTTGGTTTCTTTCATGTAGACCTCTAATAACCTTAACTTAGTCACTTTCTGCCCATTCGACGCGTTCAAGATGCGTGTGAGATATCCTTAGCTATGTCTCTGTTTCCACCTATGATCGGTTCCAACTTTCAATCTGTCAAAAGAAATTCATCCAATTCTCAAGTAGTTGTCGGTGACATCTCTATTTGCCAATTGTATTATAAAATATGATTTAGTCTTGTCATGTTCATGGATGTTGATATGCTTCTCACTTTATTTCTTCCTTTGCCAGCTTATCTTACTGTGTTTTAAGATTGTTACTTAGTAGAGACACCTATACACTCTGATCATCTACTTAAGTGCACTATCCTCGCTTCTTTGAACTGAATACAACTATAATGGCTCAAATTTTTGTTCTTGGCAGATCCAGTCATTTATAGCAGGTGTTCCATGGATTGTTGTCGGATTTAGGTAAAGCCTATCCTCACGCTGTCACCATCCATTCTTCAGTTGGTTGCTCTTATTTCTCTAAATAGTGAGATGTCGTTAGCCAAGCATGGATAGTCTTTCTCATGCTTCGTTTAACACTTAAAAAAAAAAAGGTTTTTTTGTAAATTATTATTATCATTATTTGTGCGTGTGTGGTTTGGGGGTAGGAATTGAACTTGTGATCATTGCTAACATCAACTGCTAACCGCTTAAGCCCAAGTCCGATTCCTACTTCGTCTAGCATTTGTATTATCCATAAGATGTGTGTAATTGACTTTACGTGATTTTAGTTATAAATTTGGTTTGGAGATGCTCTGCAAAGTTCAGAATATCTAGTATATCTGTTGCATTACCTCCATAAGCAGAATTTGAGCTCTTTTCATGTAGCAGATTCTGAATATGAACTGTTTTCAGAAGTTGCAGAACATTCAAAATTGGTGGAAAGGTGGAATAGAGGGTTGATAGGATCAATGAATAAATTGGTGAAAATATGTAAAAGGAAATTTGGTTGCAAACTTTGGATTCTCAAAATTTAGGAAGAAACTGAAAATTGCACAAATTGGGTATATGAGTGTAATATTTATATCTTATGGGGGATTTTGGTAATAATAGTAAATTGAAGAGATTGTTTATCAAAAAAAAGAAAAGTAAATTGAAGAGATATTTTTTTGTAATTTTCTCCATATAAATCATTTTATTCTGGTGAACTCCTTTTTCTCAGAAGGATCTTATGATATTGTATGACACTCATTTTGCCTTGTTTCAAACATTTTGTTTCTTGATGAAGTTGAGGGTTTTTTTTTTTTTTACATTACATTGGTGAAAAATGATTCTCTGTAAGAAATTGATGCATCCGTGGATTGAAGATCCATGGATTAGAAGTTGACAATCAAGTTTTTCTAGTTCTCAACCTTGGTCAAATAAGACACTTAAATTGGATTTAAATCCACTGGTCAAATGGATCTGTGCATAGAACATTGCCCAGCTGAATTGATTTGGCTGTGCATTGCGAATATTACTTATGAGACTGATGATATCTCTCCCATTCATTTCAGAGATGATCATGGTCGTCTTCGTCGGACGGAGAGGCTCAGGGTGAATGATATCATACACAGAGTTAAGATGAAAAATTACTGGCAGGCATGTGGATCATATATCTTCCATAGAGATAAATATTCTCTTTTAAGATGTTCCCGTCTTTTATTTTGATTTTTTGTTGCAACTTTTATGCCATCATGTTGATTCTCAGTGACAAATATATCTCTTTGGAAAAATTCACAGTTCTAATGTGAGTTTTTCTTTTTCAAGAAGATATTTTCCTTGATAATGAGAGATGTGCCCCTGGATTTTTCTTGACTATTTTTCTGCATTCTTTTGTTGCCATGTTTTTGATCCTTACTATTTTTAATTGCTTGAACTTTAGGACAAAGATGTTGAAAAATCAGAACGAAGATTTGGTAGTATCATGATTTCTTCCAGATCCCTTTGATTTTTAGTTATAAATTTTCTTAAAAAAGAATAAATATAACTTTGTACTATTGTACAACTTTGCAGAAACTGTGAACTTAATATCAAAAAAGAAGGGAATATTGACTATTTTTCCCTTATTTAAAATGTCTCAAGATTTTCTTTCAGTTTTCTAAGAATAACCCCGAAATCTTGTAAATGTCCCGAAAAATTCTCTTGCCAAGAAATTCCTGAGAACAAGATTTATCACTACTAAAATATCGAGAACCCAATGCGAATGGTTTTGCAGGGGACTGTGTGCCTCGCATTTGCTGATGAGGTGTTCTGCTGGCTCTATGGAACAGTCAAAGATAGTTGAGTTTCCATATACCTCAACATGTGTTCCTTTCTCTTTCCTTTCGTCTCTAGGGTCTACCTGTGTGTGTGTGTGTGTGTTTCTTAACTTTTTTATCTCCTCTTTTCTACTGTTTTGAGAAATGCATGTAACACCTCTTTCTTTGAAATTGTTTCAGATGAAGATTATGTATTGCAATACATGCCGCCATCAAACAGATTGGAGCTTCTTCAAGCACGGTCCTGCCCACCTTCCATTACCGCTCATCTAGAGCAACTTGGGTCTACATAAAAAATAGCCCATATCTTTCTCCAGGGTTCCGATTGTGGTAAACATGCATGAGGGTTTCCCTGCAGTTGATACTCCCTTTCTCAATCGCTTCCACCTCTATTTATCTTTTACCGTTTGTAACACAATTGCATAAATTATCCATTATGTTTGGAGCCAGTTTTCTCTCTCTAGGACTCCTGCTGCCGAAGTTAAAATTGTAGATAATAGACCTAACCTGCCCAGTGAGTCAAGCCATCCCTGATTATGTTTATTCTTGTATGCCAATTGTTAAATAGGTGGGTTATGTAAAAGTTTATTCTAAGGGTCTGAGATGATTGAATATTCTGAAATGGCCTTTTGTTTTTATGTTTTTACATGAAATTAACGGCTTTGTAGCATGGCCTTTGGTGTCATAGTTTCTTATGCACTGTCATGGTTTGACAACTTTGGTTATTAAAGCCCATGGCCTCCTCTCTCTCTCTCTCTCTCATGTGTGATTGTCCTAAAACAAGGGCAGGCCTGCATGCGTTCTCCTTTTCAAAGTCTAAAATCTTCTCTTTACCATCTCTACCTTCTCTTTGGATCTCTACACCTCTTTCCAATACCAACAATTGACCACTTGAATAAGAAAGTTGATATCTCAATACCTGCTTAAAATCCTCAAAATGATCAAAAGAGCAGTATTTGGCATGCTTTTCGGTTGCTCTAAAGCTCATTCTACAAAGCATGAAATCAAAACTGAAAGGATCAAAATTAAGAGAAAAGAAATTACCATTTAACAAATGAAAAATGACATGGTTGTCCAATGTAACAAATGATCAAATGCGGCAGTCTCGAGTGAGCTTCGATCACCTTGCTGCTTGGGTTGGGTTAAGAGAAAATTTAAGGTCCGCGCTCTTTTTAGAACCTAGTATCGTGTGTATATTATAACTAAATACACTGATCATATACATCTAATCATATGTTAACCAAGCGGAGTTCAGTTTGAACTAGGGTTGTCTAAGAAGTTAGTTGTTAGGCTTAGGCTTGTGGAGATGGAAAATATTGCTCAAGAATGATGTTGGCGCATCAGTGGGGTGGATGCCTCAACGTAACGTCCCTCCCTGCATTCCCACCGTTTATATATCAAAAAAGAAAAGAAAAGAAAAGAAAAAGATGGAAAATATTGTTCAATGTCGGCTTGTAACGAGATATTCTGAGCCAATATACGATCCGGCTTGGCTTCCTTAACCCCGACAGGGGAGAAAAAGGATGTAGCAGATGGATATGTGGTTGCTACACAACAATCACGTACTGTTTTGTTGTTTTTTCCTTGGTGTGTTGCACAATTATGTTTGTTAAAAGTTATTCTTCAAAAGATCTCATCCAAAAAAAGAAATGAGAAATTTGTCAAAAGTACCCAAGTGAGGAATTAAACATTTCTGTCATTTTCTTCTGAAAACCTTATCAAAGGTAGATAATCATGAATTAAGATAGTTGATATCTTCGATAAATTTTCCTAAAAGAATAAGCTTTACTGAACACGTTAGGGCCATTTAGATGTCCATTTTTTAGCCATAACAAACAATTTACACTCTTGTTTGGATGTATCATATATGCCAGCTTAGCATGTCACTTTTCACAATAAAATTTAAAAGACAGAATCCTATTTATCGTTACATCGCTATTTTGGCTGACGGATGGAAGCTTGGTAATCTTGAAACTGTCACCTACATGCTCTACTTTTGCCATAGGGAGAATTTTTTTTTCTCACTATTATAAAAAATGCAAATATTGTTATGAAATTTAAGAAAGTCACTGAAAAAAGTGGATATTATTTTGGGAATTTGATTAAAATACCTATAAGAGATGAATTATTTAGCAATTTACAAATTCGCTGCTATTCCAATTTGAAATCATTTTTTCTTTTACGGGTATATTTTGAAATAAAACCAAAATATGTGGATAAAATGTTAAATTGTTCATCTCTTACAGGTATTTTGACAAATTTCCCTATTATTTAACTTGATATGACGAAACCAGGCTGGTGGCTAACAATTTCCATCTTTTATAATACAGGGAAAAGTTTATATTGGTTCCTTGGCTTAACCGCGTTGATATGGAAGTTGTTAAATAATGTGGCATTCCTTTTTGGAGATGGCTTTTGACAAACAATTGTGTTACAAGTTATGTGGAGCCTTCCAAATGCAAAGATAGAGAGTTTAATTAAAGAGCATGCCCTTAATTTCTCAATAAAAAGAGACAGGCTCAAGAGCCACCAGTAAACATCAAAGGGTCTTGATGAGCTCTGCTTGTGTTAACGTTCAAAAAAAAAAAAAAAAAAAAAAAAAAGAAGAAAAAAAAAGAAAAAGAAGTTGATAAGCTCCTATCACCTCCACTTGTTCTATGATGATTAAGTTCATAAAATCCTATCCAATTAATCACAAAGGAGCCCACATCTTTCTTCTTTTTGGTGATGCTAACCATCCATCTCTCTCTACACTTAAAATTAATAAACTCAATCATTCAACAGACTGGATGCACTTTTCCTTGTGCCTGTCTGACAGCTTAAAAGCCATCTCCACCACCTTCCCAAAAAGCAGAGGGAGGGACAAAAGCACTGCCTTCCCTCTCTCTCAACGCCTCTTTCATTCTCATTATAACTCTGCTCCCTCCCATAAACTAATAGTAAGAGAGAGCTGACAACTTCTGAGAGAGAGAGAGAGAGAGAGAGAGAGAGAGAGAGAGAGAGAGAGAGAGGAGGAGAGAGAGAGAGAGAGAGTAGTGTCTGTAGTAGTAGTGGTTAGGTTGGTGGTTGGTTTGTTTGTTTTGTTTGTTGTAGTAGTAGTAGTTAGTAGTAATAAGTAAAGTAAGTACGAC